CTAAGCTTTGTTTCGGGCGTATTCCGTTTTTCTTTTATTTTGTACTACTGTGTCGTCAGCAGTGTTTTTCTTAGCTTAGTGAGGAATTTAATCGTGGCGCAAAACTAAATTTGCTCTACAGTTGACATTTTCTCCTCATCATTCAGTGATATCTCTCACAGAAATGAACAGAGAGACTGTATTCGCGCGTATATAATAACTAACTATTAAAAGTGGTGACCAGAGAGAGCTTTTGCTCTTTACGCTTTAAAAATCTTTTCCCGCGAAATAACCTTGGAGTTGACTGATGCGGTTATAATTAGAAAGAGCTTTCAGTTTATGGGACAGCATATATTTTGTTGTGGCGAGAACTTTTAACAGTTTTAGCACTCGTACCAATGAAGTGGATAACTATGATGTACACATAAAAGCTGTCGCAGCAAATGTGTAGGGACTTATTTAGTGCAGCGATCGGCAGAGAGAGCTTTTACTCTGTGTGCGTCTATACAAAATGTATAGAAAGCTTAAAAGAGCTTTGCCCGCGGGCAAGGTAGTGCACATCACCGAATCTATAAAAAAAATGTATAGAAAGCCTAAAGGAGCTTTGCCCGCGGGCAAGGCGATGCCCATCACCGATTTAGAGATGTTGATTCGATCAGAGAGGACTTTCACCTGGTGCACGCCTACGTAAAATCTAGAAAGGTCAAAGAACTTTGCTCGCTCGCAAGAATTTCGCGACCTTTAAAGTTTGTAGAAAGCTTTCTAGAACTTTCCCCGCGAGATATCTTTTAGTCGTGACTGATATATATGATCAAGTTTTTTTGCGTTATGATATTCCTCAAGCNGTATAATCAAGACTATTGCCTGACCTTGAATTTTGATTTAGATAGTGGTAATGTCCCAGATAATGGGAAAAGGGTTTTTCTTGTATACACTCACAACTGCTTTGGCCTAAATCTCTGTCGTAATTACGAAACATGATTATTTACATACGTAGTTTAACTTCCTCACCCTCCACATTCGATTGTGTACGGATCAGTTGGCGCTATTTTCAACCTTTCTCCTCTCACACTCTCAATTTAATTGTGTGTGGAATTGTGTTCTATTTCCGAATACAAACAAACATGCATGCGTTCTCACATTCACTTTCTATTTGTATGTATGTAAGTAGGTACATTAGGGTGCCACACCCTAAAATTACGGATTTTCCACTGGAATTATAAAATTTATTCAGCCTAATTATGAGTGGAATTTTCGCACGAAATCGTTTTACTTTTCTCTTTTCGTTTATGTTTATTCACTAAGACCGAATAAAAGAATTTCGAGTTATTTCGTTTTTGGGGCGAAACTCAGGATAGGGCTCATTATATTTTAATACTCCCTCCAAAATTTATCGTAAACAAAATTATAATTTACGTGAGCTGGACCGATTTGAAAAAGCTTCCAAGAAGCGTTTTGGTTTAATAAAGTTGGTGTTTAAAAAAATAGTTACCAAAAAAAAACAAAACAAGTCAGTTTATACGAGAGGTTAAGCTTAAAAAGTCAGTATACAAATTTTTAAAAAGTTTATCAACGAAATCAAGATAAGGTGGATTTTGGAGGTATTTCCAGAATTCTTGAATTATAATAAATTTTATAACATAATTTATAAAATAGTGCCGATTTTTTTTTATAGAGAGTGATGCACCCTAATATACATATATACACACATTCATATGCAAGTATAAATGTATGTGCACTCTATTTGACTTTCGCTTTCGTTTCGTTTGCCGGATCGATATTGACGTCGGAATCGCCGGCGAATGAAGTATTTATTGAATTAATATTCGCTGTTGTTGGTTTTGTTTTCGCTACATTGATTGTTTTGTCTTTCCTTTGGCATTGCCATCCATAGACGAAAGGGCAGCAAATCGTATTTTCCATTCATTTTTATTGTTTGTTATTTGTCTAGCTTATTACCTCATACTAATCATTGAGAGTTGGCACACAGTGGGAGAATGATAAATGCATACATATGTACATACATATATGTACATATATTTATTGTATTATTTATTTACACGCGTACAATTTGTACATACATACATATTTACTTAATATCTTTTATTATAATTTTTTCTTTCGAAAGAATGAATCTGCATTCGCACACTTCCTTCAAATTTTAATAAATTTTCGCATGCCTTCTTCTTTTTTGATATCTTGTCCTGTACCTATTACAAGAAACTCGAGTTCACAAAATTCCATTAAATAAATTTTAGTTAGAATTTGGAAACTCGCAAAAATTCGGCACAGTAAACCTGCTCAACGACTAAACTATTCGTTAATTAGTTATTCACTTATTTACATATTCGAACAGAGAATCCTATCAACAAAGGGCGCCAGTCCTTTCACTTCTGTGGCAACTGATACCAATTACAAGTGCCAAGTGAAGCCAAGTCCTTCTCCACTTGGATTTTCCATCGCAGTGGGGGCCCCCTTTCCCCTGCTACCACCAGCTGATTCCGAGTTGAATACTTTCAGAGCTGGAGTCGACAAATAAATGGTGAGTGTCGATACTTTTCTCGCTAGTATTTTCCAAGATTTGGCATATTGTGAATACATGGTCTTTGGTGGATTTGCCTGGTATAAAGACATACTGATCCCGCGGTAGTTGGTGTGAATGGCTGGGTCGCCTTTCTTGGGCAGAGCACACTTAAATTCCAGTCGTCGGGCATGCGTTCATCTGACCATATTCTGCATAAGTGTTGAAGCATGTACCTTATCAACTCCTCGCCGCCGTACTTGTATAGCTCTGTTGGCAGGCTGTCAGTTCCAGCAGCTTTGTTCTTTTCAGCTGCGTAATTGCTATTCATATCTCGTCATAGTCAGGCGGTGGCTACCATTTGATAGGTTGAAAAATGTTCCCTCCATAATTTAAGTACGTTCTGTACATCGATCACCAAGGCGCCATTGTTGTTCTAACAGGAGATCGCACTGATCTTGAAACTTTCCGTAAGTCGCCAAACTCTCTAGTAAAATTTTTGAGCGTTTTTCCTGTCGGCCAACATTTAAAGCAGTCTGAGAGCAGGTGTGAAAGTGTGGCGAATGCGTCTGTTATGACTGCAGCTTTTGGACGTCGAGCTTTTCTTGCTACCGGATTGCTGTAACAATTTTCAGTCCGAGATTAGTGCCACAGCTGAAGCCCGATTATTCTTCAACACGGGATACTATTTGATTCTTGCATTTGGTTCAGCATTTTAGCATTTTTTGATTCCCTTCAAATGATATGTTTTTCCAAGGTTCTCAAAATGTTTCAGTGATGAACTCTCTTGTTCGGATCTAAAGAAGTGCAATCGGGAATTGTATGGAAATGTCGCAGCCGTATCAACGTCACTCTATGCTGGATTCCCGGACCTAGCAAAATTGATGGGAATGAATCGGCTGATGAGAGGGCTAGATGCGACTCAGAGATGTAAATAGATGAAGCGGATAGCTCCGTACTACCACCGTTTAGTGACCACGTTAGGAAAATTACGGAGTACACCGCGGCCGCGACGAATGACTTGTGGAACAAACGGGAAGACTGTGAGACCGCAAGATTGTTATGGCCGCGTCTTAGTAGGAAAAAGACAGGGGGCGTACTGAAACTCAAGAAATCTGCAGTAAGAGTCCTTACCGGCGTCATCACAGGTCACTGTGCTATAGTACCAATGCTTCAGCAGTGGCGAATACCAGCAATTACTCTCTGCAGAGGCCATCATGATGAGGATGGGGAAGAGACAATTGGCCACTCACTATCTGTGGCTATGTCCAGGTCTACATACGAAGTGACTCAAGCTCTTGGGTTCACGCAGAGGTGGAACTGTTGGATCTCCTCGGCTTCATCAGAGATAGTAATTGGTTCAGTAGAATAATGACTACTCTTTCGATTATAGGTATGTGTCTCCTCTTGTGACTCACTAAAAACGGGCACTCACAATGGGCAATTCTGTCTCCCAGTGAAAGTATAGAATATTCCACACACGCGCTACTAACATAACCCTCACCTGACTCTGCAATTTTCCATTGCGACTGCTCCCCTAAGCATTGTCTTGGTGGAAGAATAATTTTCTTCGCCAATTGCAATCGGCATTGCTTCAAATCAACGTCGAAACTATCCAACAGCTCAAAACAATATCTTCAATTGATAGTTTTATCCTTTCAAAAAAGCAATCGTTGTAAATAGCAAAGTCTGCACCTCAAAACAACAGTCGACATGAACTTGGCGCACGTTCCCCCGGAAAAGTCCACTGTCCCTTGGTCCCTGGTATATTGTGTTGATTTAATTTTTCGACCTCGGCGCATCTTAAATATGTGCTCACATGGTCGCGCTTTAGGTCTAGCGGGAGCAATTGTCGTATCTAACGCACGCATTTGAGATCCCCAAAGTTTCAGTCACTTCACGGTCGTCCAATATCATTAACCTCTCTGAAAATCTCAAGATATCTTTGGCTCTGCTTTGCTCTCCTCATTAAAGAGAGTTTCGAGCCAACAGAGTAGCTAATTATAATCATTTTCTTAGCCAACATGGTTCGATTTATTAGCAAATAAATTTAGTTTCCTGGACAAAGTTTGAGATGGATTAAGGAATTTCCTGTTATTTATATGAAGTCATAACCACGTTTGGGCTCTGAAAGCGAAAAGAGCTTACGGGTTTTAATAGTTTTTTATTTTGAATGATTCGTGATTGAACGTGGCGTATGAGTAATTTTAATTCATTATGGATTATTCAAGTTTAAAAATGAACTACTCGTTTTGTATTCTCGTGTTTTAATCGAATTCCAAATCGAATAATTTTTTTTTCCAATTTTCACAGATACAACACTGACCAAGGAGCTATGGACNGTTTTTATTTTGAATGATTCGTGATTGAACGTGGCGTATGAGTAAATTTAATTCATTATGGATTATTCAAGTTTAAAAATGAACTACTCGTTTTGTATTCTCGTGTTTTAATCGAATTCAAAATCGAATAATTTTTTTTTTCCAATTTTCACAGATACAACACTGACCAAGGAGCTATGGACCAGCAATTCTGTCTACGCTGGAACAATCATCCGACAAACTTAACTGGTGTGCTAACCTCGTTGCTGCAGCGAGAGGCACTCTGCGATGTAACGCTGGCATGCGACGGTGAGACAGTCAAGGTAATAGAATCTTAATACAATTGTACAACTACATACACACAATTTAACCCATTGCATACCCATATAGGCGCATCAGAATATTCTATCAGCATGCAGCCCATATTTCGAAACAATTTTCCTACAAAACCGCCATCCACATCCTATCATCTACTTGAAAGATGTCAGATACTCAGAAATGCGCTCACTGCTCGACTTCATGTACAAAGGCGAAGTCAATGTCGGACAAAGTTCGCTGCCGATGTTCCTCAAAACAGCCGAGAGTCTACAGGTAAGCTCGATATTTTTCAAATTTTGTACACATTTCACTTACACGTGCTCCTCATTCTTCATCTCGCTGCGCAGGTGCGTGGTCTCACAGACAACAACAACCTCAACTATCGTACGGAGCATCGCGACTCACCCACACCCTCGCCCACTGGCCGCACACCCTATAGCAGCAGCGGTATCGGCGGCATCAGCGAATGTGAAACACGTGAGCGTGATCAACAGCTACGTGGCCGCGCCAGCGAGCGCGATCTGCGCGACGATATGCATTCACATCGTAGCAGCAGTAGTCTGAGTGAACGTAATGCGGCCGCAGTTGCCACTGCCGCCAGTGTGGGTAGTGTAAGTGCCAGTTTACAATCCGCCGCAGCAGCTTTGGGTTTAGGTGAACGTTCACCGATCACAGCGGCCGCAATGGCAGCTGCTGTGGCGGCTGCAGCAACACGTAGCGCTAGCGCTGATGCGCTAGGTGGCTCGACGCATACAGGCTGCACTGGTAGTGGTAGTGGTGGTGGCGGTGGTGTCGGCAGTGGCGGCGGAGTGTTAAACAGTCGCAACAGTGATGCGAACAGTGAGCGCAGTGGCGGTGGTGCAGGCAATGGAGGTAGCAGTGGTGGCGGCAGTATTGGTCGTGATCGTGCCGACAGTCGTGATGAACTCATGCAGCTAGACTATAGTAACAAGGATAACAGAGATCGTGATAGAGAGATGTCCACCACGCCGGTGGAGCATATAGGTAGTAATAAGCGAAGACGTAAGAACTCATCCAACTGTGATAATTCGTTGACCTCGACACATAACGCAAATGTACAGGATAGGCACTACACTCAGGATTCTCAGGTGAGTGGCAACAGATGTGATAAATACATACATATATCGATGACAATGCATCGAGTGTGATTATTAAAAATTTTAACGGAGTTTCCATGACCCAAAGGTGCTTCAATTAGGTCAGGTTTCAGAGTTTACCTAGCTTCGTAATTCTTAATTAAGGACTTAACAGCCTTATTATCTATCTCGAATGATAGGCCACACGAACGATTCGTCTGCAGAGGAATGCTTAAAAAATTAGTCCGGCTAGCCGGTTTAAAAGTAACCGAGACGATTGCAACCTAATCGCCGTAAAGCATTCGTCTGCAAACGAATCGTTCGTGTGGCCTATCGTTCAAGAAACGTAATAAGGCTGTAAATTTACATTGAGAAAAACTAATCGAAGTTGGCTAGAATACCGTCTAGCGGAAGTTATAACAGTCTGATTGATTTCCTACCTACAGATTTTTTTTACTGACAATTTAGCTGCTAACAGCGCAATCAGATTATTAGAAATATAGGCCATTCGGGTACAGTTTCATTCTGAGTATAGTCCCATCCGAATTAAATATAAGCTATGCCCAATGACTACATCATACTAAGAACCTAGGCCAACCACAAACTCCTCACAAAATTCCCAAGCTACACTGACTAGGTTCGGAATCAAAGGAATCAAAAATTCGATGCGGAGTAGGTGCAGGAAGTTTAATTTAGCAACCCAATCTGAAGCTACCCTTTTGCCTACTGGACCACATAGGCGGAAACGTTTGCGATCAAGGAGGCGGTTATTTATATGCGTGAAACCTCAAGCACCCGCAAAATAGCAGGTGAACATTTTCTCAGATAGTCAGGTGGCAATTCGGGCGTTCTCCTCACTCCCCTTCGTTGGTTAGATGGCAGCTTGTGAAGGACTGTAGTTCAAAGTAACTGATTGACCTGATGAATTCTACAATATCCTAATATGGATTCTAGAGCATAAGGATATACATATATGGGAATGAAACCGCGACGGAACTAGCGAGGTCTGGCTCTGCACAAAATGTATCTCACCCTGGTGGACATGGGCGCCGCGCTTAGGAAATTGAAAACCAAAATTAACGAAATTTACAATTCCAAAGCTAAGCAGAATTGGCGTAGTATGGGAACGTATAGGTTTACTAGACAGATCTATAATCCATAAGGCCCTTTTGAATCCAGGAATTTGGAGAGAGTGAGCAAGGACGCCATCTACAACCTCACAGCTTTTTGCAGAGAACACTTTTCGGTGGATGTGCATGCCGAAAGCGTCAGCATATCTGTCAACAGGTTCTCCCGTGCTGCAAAGATCCTGGCTCAAACAGAAACTGTTAAACACGTTCTTTGCGAATACCTGGCCTTTGCAAAAGTAAGCCGAAACTCACTTATTTGGCCAATTAGTAAACAAATAAATATTTGGCGCTTAGTGCTTGGCCGAGCCTCTCCTCAGATTTGTGGAGTGCGCCTTGATGTTTTCACAGAAAGAAGAGAGACCTACAGACTTACGCCGTCTCCGAATGGCAAATGGTTTTCAATGAGAAGCTTCTTCATGACAGAAAGGTACCCGGAGGTGTGTCGTTGCCGCTTTTTTGTTAAATGTTGCTCGGACCA